GAGAGCAGATAATTCGAGACCTTCATGCTGGCGGACTAGGAGGACATTTGGGACGTGATAAGACAATTGCAGCCATTGAAGAACGATATTATTGGCCTCAGTTGAAGAAGGGAGCAGAAAGATATGTGCGGCGTTGTCCAATTTGTCAAGTTGCTAAGGGACAGTCTCAGAATACAGGATTGTATACACCCTTACCAGTTCCTGATGCGCCGTGGCATGATATTTCCATGGACTTTGTGTTGGGACTGCCTAGAACCCAACGAGGTATGGATTCTATTTTTGTTGTGGTTGATAGGTTTTCAAAGATGGCGCACTTTATTCCATGCAAGAAGACTGCGGATGCGAGCAACATTGCCAATCTTTTCTTTCGGGAGATAGTTCGTCTTCATGGAGTGCCAAAGTCCATCACATCCGATAGAGATTCCAAGTTCTTATCACACTTTTGGAAGACTTTGTGGCAGAGATTCAACACTTCTCTCAAGTTCAGTACTGCCTATCACCCCCAAACGGATGGCCAAACTGAAGTGGTCAATCGCACCCTCGGCAATCTTCTTAGATCTATTTCTGGCGATCGACCAAAACAATGGGATCTTGCTTTGGCACATGCTGAATTTGCCTACAACTGTATGGAGAGTCGGACTACATGCAAGGCACCCTTTACAATTGTGTATGGAAGGCTTCCGAATCACTATCTTGATCTAGCCCCGCTGCCTAAACTTCCTGGACAGAGTGTTCCTGCAGATCATATGGTTGAAAAGATACGTGCTATTCAGCAGGAGGTGAAGGAGAAGATAGAGCAGTCTAATGCTAAGTATAAAGCCGAAGCTGATCAACACAGAAGGAGGAAGGTGTTTGAAGAAGGAGACATGGTGATGGTGTTTCTGCGAAAAGAACGTTTTCCCGTGGGTACTTACAACAAGCTGAAGAATAAGAAGTATGGTCCATGCAAAATACTGAAGAAGATTAGCGACAACGCTTATGTGGTTGACCTTCCTACAGATTTGGGTATTTCTCCTAGTTTTAATGTTGCAGATTTGTTTGAGTATTACCCACCAGAAACAGCTGTTCATGCAAGTGTAAGCTCGGGGTCGAGCTCTTTTCAAGCAGGGGGGACTGATGTAGAACACACAGCAGACATGTTTATGTCAAAGTGGGACAATCGCAAGCCCAAATGCGGGCCTGGTCGAAGAAAATAACATGTTTCGAAGAAACGGCCGTAACTTTCAAACCGTACGTTGGAATTGGACGAATTATATATAAAAATCGACTATCTCGACGAGATGGAGCCATCCAAACCTACCCCTACGGGTTTGGTTAGCGTTCTCAGATTCTCCAAATTCCTTACGGTTTGAGAGATAATTACAATTTTGTCCGTTTTTACTATTTTTAGTAATAATTTAGGAGTCTATTTTGTTTAGGAAACAAATCCGATTTGATCTCAGATTTGACCGGTGGACTTTCCTATTCATAAGGAGTCTTTTTAGGAGTTTTAATGTTTTAGAAATTCTTTACCATTTTTGGTAAGTTGAGAGTCCTTGTAGGAATTAGAGTCCTTGTAGGAGTCTTGTTTCTTTTTCTATTTAAGAAGAGTCTTGTAAGCCCTAGAGGCATAACTTTTGATTAATAAAATTTCGTTTTTCCTCAATATTTCTTCGTGGATTCGAAGCTCTTCGTGGATTCGAAGATCGTTCTTTGTGGATTCAGAGAACACCCTTGGTGGATTCCGAGGTTACAACTTCCGCGCTGCGTCACGATAGCTGAGTTTTTTTTATTTTTAATGCAATAAACAGTTTTATTTGTTATAGCACTCTACTATTATTCATGTCGTGTACCTTATCTTATTCATGTGTATTGCTAGTGAACATGTGGTTGGATGTATATATTATTTGGAATTGGTTGATGTATATTTTAGATTGGATGGTTGGATATGTGCATTGTGTATAATGGAATTGTTGGATATGTGCATTGGATGGTTTGATTATATTTGGTTATTAATGGAATTGTTATGAATTTTGATTATATTTGGATGGTTAGATGTATTCATGTGTGTAATTGTACAGGGAATTGTAAATTATAAATATTTTTTTGCTGTAAAAATATCAACCTAGACGCATTTTTCGTCTAAGATGGGACAATCTAGACGGAATTCCATCTAGGTTGGTATTATTACAACCTAGACGAAAATCCGTCTAGGTTGGCAACCTAGACAGTTATGCTATATCTGTCTAGGTTGCTTTCCGTCTAGGTTGCCAACCTAGACGGATTTCCGTCTAGTTTACCCCAACCTAGACGAAGCAAGCTAGACGGAATTCCGTTTAAGTGAACCAACCTTGACGGATAATGGAGCAACATAGACGGAAATTTCCATCTAGGTTGCTCGTTTTTCTACTAGTGTTTATGAAGGAATGCTAGGAGTACTTCTTAGATTCCCTTCGCAAGGGATTCCTGTACGTGCGATATAAGTTATATAAATGATGATCCTTACTCCATAAAAACATAAATCTCACGTGTCATGTTGGTAAATGGACTTACCCTAACAAGGAATACTACTTACAATAGTCTAGCATATGATCCCCCTCTGCTTAATATTCTAACATCTCTTTTGTCCCTCGTCTTAATTTATTTTCTCCTTGTGTGACCCGTTGAGAAAAGACAGTAACAGAATTGTGGAAGGACTCATGTGGCATCCCGCGCAAGATTTCGACTGTACTTAGATCAGCCCTAAAGTCATTAGCATAGATCACTAGGATTAGGTTGTAGTTTAGTGCCTAGTGTCGGTATTAAAATGGTGTTTAATAATCCAAGGGATGAGATGGAACCAACACTGGCAGCCCACGTGAGGAAAAAAGATGAGTCACGTTGGTCAGTCATCTCCAAGAGTTTGTTTGCAGAGGAATCATCGCACTAGTGGCTTCTGATGGGTTCCAGCTCGGTTGGCTTTCAGAGTTTGTTTATTATTGGTCCCAAAGAACCAAAAAACCCCCTCCCCTTCTCATTATTAGATGATGAGGAGAGGAAACCACTTGTGCTCCAACAATCAAATTTTATGGGCTGTCATCATTAGAATCCTCTTCGATAAAGACTCTGGATTGACTTATCGCTGAATTGGGACTCAGTTGCCTATTTCATGAGGAAGCTTTTAGCTTATGATAAGTTGCTTAGTACATATTTATTTGGAGTGTAAATTCTTGAAGACCTTCTAACACTGTCACAAAACCCAAAAGAGTTTTTCACAGTTTTCATCTTCCTTTGTTTTTTTTTCACGAAAAAGTTTTAAGAATCTTTTTCTTAAAAGCGAGGAAAACTCCACTTCTTGGTGGATAATATTTACTCAGAATTAATGTGTGAAAATGCACTGAACTTGGATGTGAGTATAGTTTTAATAACTAAATAATGGGATAACGGGAGTTGATAAAATATAATATTTAAATAATAAGTGAAATGTCTCCAACTTAAATGTTTCCTTATTTATTATTTTTGAACCAAACAAGAGCATGTGATGGAAAACATTTCCTCCCAGTGTTTCCATGCCGAAACAAATATTAAAAACTTGAAAAGGGGTGGAAATATGTTTTTTGACTACTAGAAATGGTTTCCTATTGTTAATCTTTCTCGAGTTGTCGATACACCCGCTCCATGCCAGATCAAACATGATCATAGCCTAGATGGATCGAACCGCTACTACGGTGGACTCCATAGGTCGACAACTTACATGGCCGACTCGAAAAACAATACTTGCCGACCTACCTATTAGATCAAGCTCACAAGCCTCCACACTCGTCCTATTTATCTCAGCCGACAGCTTTCGAGGCCGGATAAAAAGGCGCTACTTCTCACCTTTCTCGCAAGGAGTCGTCCATTCTCGCTAGGCTGAGACAAACGTCCCTTCCCACCATGTCGAGACATGTGTCCCTTCTCACCTGGCCGACTTGTCCCTTCTCGCCAGGCCGAGAGAGGTGTCCCTTCTCGCCCGGCCGACTTGTCCCTTCTTGACAGGCAGCTCGAGTCGTCCTTTCTCGCCAGGCCAAGTCGTTCCTTCTCGCCAGGCCGAGTCGTCCCTTCATGCCAGACTGAGTCGAAAGGCGGTCTTTCTCGAGCCCTCGCCAATAGCCAGTCACCATCACATTAAATACGCGGTCAAAAATCATCGTTGCTCCAGTCCTAAAAGTCTTTGTGACTCATCAAGGCTTCGTTAGCACCAAGCAGCTATTGTCGCTTTGTACTAACCACCTAGATGACCCATCTTCGCCAGTGGCTGACACCTGTCAGCTGTCTGTCGATGTCAGCTGCCTGTCGAGTCAGCTGCCTGCCTGGAGTCGGCTCAAGTTACAAAATTACCTCTCTGAACCTACTATAAATATAGGGAATGTCTACAGCACGTAGGTATGACATTTCTGCATACTTAGATTGAGAATTTATTCAGTTCATTGCTTCTTCTCCACTCAAGCTCAAATATTGACTTGTACGTCGGAGGAACAATCGGAGAACCCAATTCCAAGCCAGCCTTTTGAAGGAGTTTGAGGACCCTAACTATACTTTAATCCACAACTAATTAAACCCCCTATTAGATAACCGACATCAGCATCTATATTTTGGGAAATGAAACAAACACGCCTCTATAGAAATAACTTACATTTGTTGATGAAAATAATTGTTTAGTAATCATGAATTTAGGGCGTTCAGTAAAACTGTACTTAATTAAGTATTGTTAAAGGTGAAAATCGCCAAAAAGACGTCCATTTCGTAGGGTGCTTTTTGGTAGTCTGAATTAACATTGCCATAAGCATGATGCTCACAAAGGCGGCATTTAGCGACAAGCGAAGTCCAAATCAATGGTCGGAAGTGAATGAGAGTCATAAATCAATGGTTGGCAAGCACTGGTCCGTTGCCAACCACAGACGATAAGTCATGGCTTCCGTGTCTAATTCCATAGCTTTCAATGCCACTAGCAGGATAAGAGGGCCAAGTAATCTGTAATCAACAAATCACAGAATACGGAGGAAAATGAAATATACCAACATTTCAAATGGCAACAACTGAGATTTTACAACGAAAAATCATATTTACATTCATATGTACATGACGTTACAATCCTAGTCATCCTCTTGGAAAATTACTGTACAGTCTTCCTCTTATCGTCCTACTATTCCAAGGGTGCTTCGTAACCGTAGAAATAGCCAATATGGGAGTGTCCTAATGTGGTAACATCTGACTCCGACCTTCGTATCAATCCCTACCTTTGGCAGTTTTGATATATTTGTTATGTACACAATTTAGTAGGTTTAAGGCCTGACCAAGCCAAAATTGTAAAGAGACCTGGACCTGAAGAGGCCACCGAAGAGGAATCGAGTAGGCGATTCTTGTGATTTGGAGCAATCCGAGTTGTGCCCTTTCACTTCAAGCACGGTCTGGCCAATGGATTGCCTTATTGAATCTAGAGTCTTGGGGTCAACTGGATTTCCAGAAGCATCGCGAACGTAGAAGGTATTGATGGCTTTGCCTCCTCTAGTTGACACCTCGGCTCTCGTGACCGAGAGACTGTTCTCACGGAAAATACGAGTGACATCTGATAATAGACCCACTCTATCACTTGTACACAGCTCTAGCTTCAACCCCTGCAAGCCATTTATTGGTATTATTATATGTACTAATTTCTTGATTGTTTCATATTGAACACTGATAAACACTGTACTCTCACCAAATTGAACTTACTACCCCTGTAGTTCTCTCGTTGCAGAAAGACTCCCTGACAGAGTTCTATTGCTGCAGATAGACTCCCAGAAAAGGGTCAAAACGGTTTTCACTCAAGGAGTCTATCTGCAACAATAGACGACAGTCGTAAGTTCAATTTGGCGATTGTAGAGGGGGTGTATCCACAGTTAACCCTTTTCAATAATGTGGCAAAAAAATAATTAGGAGCTGAAGAGAAGGAAGATAAATGAAAACCGCTATTACACATAATGAAAAGCATTTCCCTCCAATAGTCAACTTGAATGAAGAACATGGAACCTTAGAGGGAGAAAAAAACAACAAAAAACAAAAGCATCGCAAAAGTAGTATTTTTCCACATTCCAGATGTTTTGCATTTTCACTTCCAGTACTTTATTGATGAATTTATGCGCTTCATGTTTTCATCATCATATATGAAAAGACATCAAGTCTCCTCATCTTGTACTTTAATGAAATGCACAAGCCGAAACTTAATCTGAAATGTGCATGCTACAACTTACTTTCAAGTGAAATGAACAAGTAGAAATTTAATCTATAATGCGCATCATGAAACTTGCTTCCTAAATAATGAGTCATGACACTGAGAAACCTTTATGTAACATAGACTTGACAATAATATACATCTATAGTTCTTCATAAAGAAAAACTCAATCACTACTTGTTTAAGAAATAAAAACCTACTTCAAAAAATGCAAAACAAGCATGAGTTGCAAGGATCATATGCATAAACATGTCAGTTCTAAATCCTTGGATAGAAAAGAACGTCAAAACCCTAAAATCTAACATATTGCTTTGTTCGAACAATAAATTATTAAACACAAAAGAGAATTACCTCAGACACTCTCCTCTCTATAGCAGCTTCAAGACACTGGATGACTCTCTGTCTCTCAGCTTCCGAGTTGACAGGGGACCCATCTACGTGTCTAATGTAGTACTCCTTCAAGGCAACAAGAAATAGAACACATGAGGACCAATTCTATTTATTACTGAGACAAACAAATCAATGGGTGTTTGCCAAAAAAATAAATAAATAAATACCTGATAAGCTTCAGGGCCCTCAGAATTAACATTACCATGGAAAACCACATACTGCATATCCGTCAAGGTGCAAATAATATCAAACAAAAGCTTCGGCCTATCCTTACACCGAATCGTGACCACTGAATAATCCTTATCATACCAATGCACAACAGTAACATTAGGTCTCAAACTCTCATCTCCTATACTCTGATCACACCTCTCATAATCCCTATCATCAAACATCATCTGATGAAGCCTTCGGTCTGTATGAGTTTCCCCCACAGAAACAGCAGTCCTAGCTCCCCGAGTCTTATTATTCCCTTTGAGCACATTGCAAAGCAGCTCTTTGATTCTCGAGAGCCTCTCAGGGTCGGTAATGGCAGAGTGAGTTTCGTCATCGGTCACTTGCATCACAGCTGCAGCTCGAGTATTGTGAGTCCACACCTCGGCATTAACCACATTGCACTTTAGGTCAGTTAAAACTGCACTAACTTCAGAGAGAAGACCAGGCCTGTCAGTCCCCGTGAGCTCGATTGACGTGTGGCCAGAGGACTGCGCAACGCCAACTGATCTCCTCCTTGACGGTACAAAAGAAGAATCCGCACCTAAGGACTAAAAAGACAACAAAACCGAAATGAAATCAAATGACTTATTTACCACAAAAGGGAGCATAAAGGAATAAAATTTCTACCTTTCGGATAAAATCCACTATTCCATTGATTGTAGTTGAATCATTCAACTTCTTCCCATCTTTATCAGTTACATTGAAAACTGACAACAAGAATTATATTGTCAGGATGAGGGCACATTCATGAAAATAGACAGGGATGGTAAAAAAAATGAATACAAGTGAAGAATATTACCATCCATGAACCATCCTCCATCAGAGGTTATATAAGCTTTTGTAATGATAAGGTTGAGATCAGTGAGAACCTGTACAACCTCTAAAAGCATTCCATATTTATTTGCACTATCAACCTATGTAAAAAAACCATAATCAAATTAAGTTAATTAACCCCAAAAAAATCCAATGATATTAAATTCTAACCTTATAAGGCTAAATAAGCACTGAGAAAAAACTTACTCTAACAACTGTTGCATTAGCACATGATTCATTATCAATTACAACCCTAACATGGAACAAATTGAAGTAAAATTAGAAGATTGAAAGTAAATGAATAAAAGAATAGACCAAAAAAAAAAGATGCAAACCTTGGTGGGTTCATTCTCTGAATGAATTTTTCATACTCATCATCGCTGTCCCAATGAGAACTCATCAAATCTGTCTCTGTGAAATTAAACCCAGAAAACGGAAAGAAATTTAATAATCAATTAATAAAAAAAGACACCCTAATTAATGCCCATATCAAAAAAAACCCAAAATGAATCAACAACATAGAGAATCAATTAAAACTAAATAATTAGTTCTTATAAAATCACAAAATCAACTCGACAAGAAAATATTTTTAGAGGAAAACCGACTGAAGACATCAAAATAATTGATGTGTCCATTCTAAAATCATTAAGAATTAGAAAGGAGACGGATTAAAGTTGAAAGAAAGAAGGATTACCCATTTGAGAGAAAGGAATCGAGAGGGTCGTTGAGAGATCAAACAGCCTTTTCCTTCCTTTTTTCTCTCTTTTTTTTTTCTATCTATTGAGTTTGAGATTTTGATTGTATAGTTCTTCTCTAGAGAGATCTCAGAGCCAGACGACGAAAATCGAAAAAGGCCAGCCAAAGCCAACGCTGGTAGAATTCGAGTCGAGATCACTAATCTCTCTCTTTGATTTTATTTTCCCTTGTTTTTCTCTCTCTCTCTAATTTTTGCTACGGCTCGCGCGAAGGGGCC